GTGGCCAGCTGAGCGTGAAGCAGGGAGCCTGGCGCGGCCCCCTCGCCTCGCCAGGGACCTGGGCCCGTGTCTGGAGGTGGCTGCACCGCAGGACTGGGCCCAGCCATGCAGGGAGGCGGCCCCCAGGCCCTGGAGCAGGAACAGGAGTACTGGGGGTGGGGAGGCAGGCCTGGCTAGCTCTAGACCTCTCCTGGTGGAGGACTGTCCACGGGGAGCGGCTTTGACCCGCCGCGTGGATCCCTTTTGCAGCGGCTGCCCTTCGTTGCCAGTGTCAGGAGAGGAAGGAGAGTTTCGAAATCAGAGCCGGCCCCTCCACCCACACGGAACCAAGGTGCAGGCCTCCTGGCCTAGCGCTGGCGTTGTTGCCTTGGCCTGGCGTCTGGTCCTGGTCTGGTTGGGTGATGAGGCAGCCACCGGATCTGGCCGCATTCACCCTCTTCCCTCAGGCCTGCTGTGCTCCCCGGCTGTCATGACTCCCAATGGCGCCAGAGACCTCCCTGGGTGCCATCTTGAACTCCATCTCTCTCTCTCCCAAGTCCTGCCCATTCCTGATGGGCCCTGTTCTTCCCATCTGGCCTGTTTGCATCTCTTCCAGATCCAACCTCCACCACTGCCATTATGGCATCACTTCCCTGGACAGAAGCAGCCCTGAGCTGTCTCCCTGCCTCCCATCCTCTGCCTCCCTCCACTCCCCCTGCACATGGTAATCAGTGACTTGTTCTACAGCTGCTCCCAGCGCCCCAGCCCGTCCACAGCCTATCCAAGTTCAGACTCCACGTCCATTCCCATCTTCGTTCTGTAGCCACTAAGTGCGCACTGGGCTCTTAGCCAGGTTGAGCCTGGCATTCAGGGCCTCCCGGGCCTGGCTCCTTCCCACAGTGCTCCTGCCAACTGGAGCCACTCCCGACCGCCTGGCCCATCCCTGCATCAGAAACATCCCCCCACCTCTCCACCTCAATACTAGAGGCCCAGTTCAAAGGCCTTTTTCGAGTCTCAGCCTCCATCCCAGCAGCCTTCCTTCGCCACCTGCCATGCTGTGCTTTGGTCGTGTGCCCCTCTACCCTGCCCAGCAGAACCTTACATGGGGTGGGCAGCAACAGACATTACCCATAGGGGTCTCTGGGGAGTCCCTCAGGCCTCACAGACTGCTGCTAGGGGTGCAGCACAAGGCCAGAGGGGAGGCCAAAGCCGGAGAGGGCAAGGGCCCAGAGGCTCACTGTGGCCCCGAGGGCAGAGGTGCTTGTCTGTCCATGGCACTGCCCTTAGGAGTGTTCAGTCCAAATGTGACACCAAGAAGCGAAATTCAGATACCTCCTCCTGCTTCCCGGGGCAGGGGGTGGAAGACCCTCTCTGCTCCCCCAGGGTGGGACCGGGGAGGGGAGGGGAGGCTCCTACCCCACCCTGGGGGAGGACTTGGGCCTGGGCAGGCTGGCCCTGGATGCCTGCTGTGGTGGTGGAGGGGACTGGCACCACCACGACCCTCTCCCCTCATGCCTGAGCCCAAGGGTGGCTGAAAACGATCATTGGGCACAAAAGAGTCTGACACAGCCAAAGTCAGGCACCATTTTTTTATAAAAACGCATAATCTCATTTTTTCACTTTAAAATCACATTCAAAAATCGGCAAAGAAACGCCCCAGGGAGTGAGCAGATGGGAGGGGAGGTTGAGCCAACCCAGCCCTCGGGGAAGAAGGCGCGACACCACACACGGCAGCGTGACTGGCACGAGGGGGCATGCGGCGGGTGAGGTGGCGCCCTGTGGGTAGTGGCACTGACAGGACATGTGGCTGGGGGCTGGACAGCCCATGGGGCACACTGACCATCTTGGGATGGCGAGGGCTGGCCCAACTGGCCCCACTCGCTGTGCAGCCCAGTCCACCCAGGCTGGCCCCTGTGGTCCTGGGCAAACAAGGCCTTGCCCAGTCCAGAGTGACGGGGCGAGGGCGAGGGCGAGGCCCCGGTACGGATGGGGGCAGGGGCCGGGGACCTCAGGCCCAGGCTAGGCCAGTGTGGCACAGCCCAGAGTTGCCTTTCTGTGGTCCTGGAGCCTGGGAGCTCGGGGTGGGAGGAAGGGCGGGGCTGCCATGACAGCAACAGCACCTGCTGCCAACGCCACCCTCCTGGCCAAGCCCCAGTGTCCAGGGAAGGCGGGAACGGAGGCAGCCAGTGACACCGGAACTCCTCCCAAGTGAGGGTGCACGAGTCCAGATCACTGGGCGGCGCTGGCGTCAGGGAGACCATGGGCTCCTCCTCACCAACTGGCTGGAGGCAGGACAGTGCAGGGCTGTGTCTCTGTCACAGGAGGGGCCGAAGTGGAAAAATCCAGGTAGTATTCCTGTGCTGTGGCCTCCCCTGGGGTGGAGGACGCTGAGCCACCCCACCGTGCTGTTGGCACAGAGCATAGCCCAGAGCCGGAGGTGGCACTACCCCCAGGAAGGGGCGGGGGACTGCTGGGGCTGCTGCTCTCCCCTCCACAGGAAGACACTGGGAGCAGGTAATCCCTGGGGCTTCAGGGCTGACAGGTGGCTGGACAGTGGCTGGGTTGGTGGCAGCAGGAGCCAAGGCAAGCGGGCCCCTCCCTGGGGGCTGGGGCCACAGGAAATCACAATAATTACAAAATAAAACCTTTTCCGCTTTGCGGGAAAACAAATAATAAAAATTCGACAAAATAAATTAGAGGTTT